ACGAATAAATAAATAAATTGACTAATAAATGGCTTAAAAACTAGTGCTCAATATTGAAAAGCCCGAGAGAGAACTGCTATAGAAATTTTAACAGCAATTTTAACTAACGAAAGAATTTTATAAACTTATCAAAAGCTATCAGCACCTATCATCATGAACTTCTTGTGATATACTGGAAAATTGATTGGAACTTCATTATTAACCAGTCCTTAGTCATAAATATTCAGGTTTTTGCTATAAAAATAGCCTACTTTTGCAAGTCATTCATAGCAAAATCCCCATATTCCTAAAGAAAAGAATGTTAATACTTATAATTACATTATTAAATAAGTAAAAACTTTAAAAAGTTATTTATCGATTGTGGTTTTGGTCATAAATCTCTATATTGAATAAACAATATCTCAATTGTTTTCCATTAGATTACGGGAATTCTTTGATTCAAAATGACAGGAATTGATAACATATGACGAGTTCTTTTGTTAGTCAGAATTGCTATTGAAAATTTCCATTGCAATTTTCTCTTAGACTTTTTAATTTAGAGAACTAGGTTTTAAGCTAATGATTTAAACAATTTGATTTTACAAAAAAGTTAAATAGTATTTTATATCTCAAACTAATCAAGACTAATATAGATTAAGTCGATTCATTTCATCTTTTTGCTATTAAGGTGAAAAATTTAAAAAGAAATAATAATTGTTCATATTTATGATATTGTCCCAATAATTTAAGTAGAAACACCATACCTCCATTAATATTCTTTAAACTCCTTTCTTAAATGCCATTTTTCTAAATTTTCTATATCTTTCTGTAAAGCAAGAATACCTTCATGTATATTTTTATGTTCATGGAACAAATAATTATTTAAAAGGCAATTATCTTTATTTAGAGATTTATCTTCTTTTTGTAGGTTTTCTAAAAAGTCATTAATGGTGTATTTTGCTTTTTTATAGAATATATAATCCTCATTATTTGCATTTACAATTTCATAATTTGGAACTAATAAATCTTTTTTATATATATCAATACTTTTTCTATCATTCAATTCAACAACTAATTCTG